CAACTCTACCAAATATAGGATTGAAAGTGAAACCTTACCTTGTCTGTTCTTTTTGTGGCCACCATTGCCATTAAAAGCAGCGTCGTTTCTGTTTCTCTTCCGGTGACCGCCGCCAAATTCCATTCTCTTAAGTAATTTTCAGATCCAGCAATTCACTAACTAAACTACCACTAATCCAACTCGCTCGGTAAGCAACGAAGGAAGGAGAAATATGAGAGAAAAAAGTGAGAAGAGGATAGGAATGAGAGAGAAACCCTAGAGAGAGAGGGAAATTGCGAAATCTAGGGTTTCGAAGAAGAGAAGGAAAGAGCGGGGGTGGGAGGGACTTCAAAGGGAAATAAATGAGAAAATTAAAAAAAAAAAAACGAAAACCAAAAAAAGCGGAATCGAAAATTAGGTTTAAATGGGGTTTATTTCTTTTTTTAGAAATTTGAATGAGAAGAGAGGAGAGGCGCACGTGATGCGCGCGTGCGTGAGGTGATGTTAGAAATTTGTGATGACCTGCTCACGTGTACTCCTTTTCTATCGTCATGATAAAATACAACCAAGAGTTTATTAAAAACTTGATCCCTGGAGCTTGTTTAAAATAATTTTTTAGCCCTTATAATATTAAAAATAATTTAATAGTTTAAACTTTCTCTGTTTAGTAAATTTTTTTAAATGCCTTATGGTTGTCCCCTTAACTATTTTTTTTTCTTTACTCTGTTTTTCACAATTTAAAAAGAAATTAAGGGTTGTTTGGAGTTTTTAAAAAAAAAATAGATAGAAAAGACATAAGCATAGCTTGTATTAAATGACCTGTAAATAAATTAGATTAGAACATGAATAGAAGTGCTAACTTATAAATAAATTAAAAAACATAAAGATTAAATATATTATTTTTTTATTTTAAGGCTACAAGAAGTAGTCTAATACAATCAAAATGTATGATTGATGAGTAAATAAATCTATGTATTATATGTGTATAAGTGTCTATTGCAATAAGTATGGATGGCAACAGGTAAATATGCGTTGAGTTATTGATATTTATACCCTATTATTTATTTATTAAGTAAAATACTCAGATATTTATTGGTCATCCCTATCTATTATACCCTATTATTTATTTATTAAGTAAAATACTCAGATATTTACTGGTCATCCCTATCCATCCCAAAAAACAGGAGTCAAGTGTTAAAAAAGGAGTCGAGTGTTACTGTTTCACATGAAAAGAACTATTTGATATTGGGCTTAATTATGGCCCTTATAGCAAGTTGTATATTAGTTGCATTTTTTAAAAACTTGGAACGTGAAATGTGTACCTGGCCAATCTAAATTCCTTTGAAATAAGATATTAAATGAATCATTGACTCCTTTATAATTTTGTCTTAAATTAAGATACACATTTGACATGAAAAACAAACCTACATGATGTACAGTGAAACAATATCTGTCTTAATTTTAACTTAAATAAAATTATTTTTTATATTGAGCCAACCAAACTCAAATAATCAACAATCAACTGTATTTGAAAAACACTTTTTAAAAAATTTAATTTTTTTTTAAATTAATATATTTTTAATGTTTTTAAATTATTTTAATGTACTAATCTAAAAAATAATTTTTAAAAAATAAAAATATATATATATATATTTTTAAATAAAAAATACTTTAAAAAACATCCAATCTCATTCTCAAACAAGTAAATAACTAATTAAATTTAAGATACTTCACAAGTCAAACTCAGTCTTGGTGTTTTAGATCCAGCAACCCAAATAACCTGAATCCTCTTCCAGATCAATCTCAAACCGAATATAAAAACCATGATATAGATGATTAAGCATTATCAAATGGGGGAGAAAGCTCATGTCGAATTTTAATTTGGAGAGTCCTAAATAATATCGAAGAAATCGTGAAAATAATATCGAAGACCACTAACTCGTGTTGTTTGCGAAGGCTCTCCATGTTAACTACAGATATCTCAAGTCGAGTCTAAAGTTTGAACATCAAACTATGGTTGAAATTCAAGGTAGTTTGAACATCAAACTATGGTTGAAATTCTACAGCAACTGAATAGAAAGAACTTGTGTTAATGTCTACAGCAAATTTTTCAAGGAATCTTGGGATGATTTCACTATGACAGGAAGAGTAGAGAACATCTGAGCATCCGTGTGTCAGAACAATAAGGTGCAATGTACAGCAAAATGTATCTAACACGGAGTGTCCAGAAAATTGTCAGATGTTCAAAGCATTTTGTGAAAATTTGTTCTAACAGTTGTCCTTCAGAGGTCACATTTATCCTTGTGCCCTATTTGTATCAAAACCCAGTAGCCATTATATCCCTACCATTTGATTCAAATCATTTTGCAACTCAACTCAGTAAAATACGATTGATTCTTGAGAGGTTTTTCAACAATACAGCGTGATTTCATAGCTACACTTTCAGTTATCCTCCAAAGCAAAATTGAAATTACCTGTTAAAGCTTTGTGAATAGATCCAGGCGAACAAACAAGCTTGTCTCCTTGAAGCTGTTTCCTCTAATGACTAGAGGAATGGGGATTATGAGGATAATGCCGATTACCGGAAAACAAGTAGCTAGTTAGCTCGAAAATCCAGGAAATGATGCAATTTCTGAACAAGCAGCTCATAGCTTCCGAAAAGGGGCTTGCTTTTAATAACCCAATCCTTCTCAAGAAGACCTGCTTTGTTACTTGTGAACATCTCATCGTGGAAAGTAGACACAATGCTGTAGACTGAGGTCCTTAGCACATCAGCCATGGCATAAGCTTTTGCATGTAGAGGACCACCTTGTTTTTTCGTTGTCACAACATCTCTTCTTCCTGTGTTTGGAGTATTCCATTTAATAGCAGCTGGCCCCATCAAGTGTTGGGGTTGCAAGCTTGTCTTCTTCCCCATGAAAGCTTCCACAGCGAGCAGGCTAGAGATAAGTGTTGAGGTAACAGCAGCATTGCTACCAGTGAGTTGTGCAACCCCAAATCTGTCCTCTTCGTGCGACCATGCAGTCAAGGAGGCAACTGCCCTGGCACACCATGCATACTTCTGCAGGAATTGAAAACAATTATTTAATTGTCTACGAATTCACACTGGTAAAATAATTTTTACATATGGTGGCAAAATTTTCAGTCACAGGCCACCTGCAGTAGAAGAGATTTCTTCCATCAATAAGATACTCAAAAACAAAATCTATAGTGTGATTTTGAAATCAATTTTGAACTCTATTTGAATGTATCAGATGCATTGGTTTTGCTGCATCAAACAGAGATATTAGCTTACCAACAAGAATATTGATATACTAAAACATTGACAACATCATCTGTAACAGTGATTTGTTTACGATATAATAACTGTAAAATAACCACAACAAACATTCAAAAAGCAGAATATTTCAATGTCATCAGCAACAATGTTCCATACCTGGAAGTTGTTTAGTGGTTCACAGTGCCTTGAATCCAGTTGAGAGTCAGTTGGCGACTGCAATTGATTGGATAGTTGGTGTGCCTTGTCAACAAAACAACCTTCCAAGCCTTCACTCAAGTTAGATGCAAGCTGTTCCAAAGGTCTCAAGCATGCAGCAACAACTCTTTTGTAAGTTTCACCAGTTTCTTCAAAAAATGCAGCTCGGCGCCAAGTATCTACATTATTCTCACAAACCATACACAGATCAAGATATGCAAGATACTGTGGAAGGGAATCTGGAATGCTCTCCTCAAGGGCTGCAAGGAGAGGCTCGCTGGGATTTGTCTCTGCTGCAGCAGAACCTTTTGGCGGTGCAAATAAGAACCTTTTTGTGTGTAGCACCTTCACAGTAACAACAGGGTGTCAAAAGAAGTAGGGTTTGGGAGAAGATAAGACAATTGTGGCTAATTATCTACACAAAACCTACTGCACCATGATTCAGACCAAGCAACACACCATAACACAAACACATTGCCATCTGCAAAGTTATTTTCATTGCAGGTATGAAACAGTGAGAGGATTCTTACAATTGAAGAAGTAAGAAATGTTAGGAAGCGGTAACCAGAAAAGGAAGTCGTGCATGCTACACATGCAGCAGACTGAAATAAATAATAAGATGAAAACATCATTCCATATGGTGCCCTATTGCAAGAATATTTCTAATCTGATCCATAAAGATTAAAAAACAAAAGGATAAAAATCCAGGCAGCTTGAAGAAGGATCAATGAGTGGCAATCACTACTGATACAAAGGTTTGCTATTTTATGTTCTGTTTAGATTGATAGGACCATTAAAGAGTTATTCTCTCATTGAAGTAGGATATTCAGAGGACGCATCTGAAGACAGATGAATGATTCAATGGCTGCTCTGAAAACTCAAACCTGTACTAGTGTCATTGGAAATAAATACTCAAACCTGTACTAGTGTCATTGGAAATCCAAGATGTTTATCATTTATTGTGTTCTTTTACCTTCCCCAAGAAAAGAAAAAAAAGAAAAAAAATTATCATTATTTTGTTCTTTAACTGTCCAGGCAAGAAAAATATGGTTGGACATTCAGTTAAATTTTCTCCAATGCATCGAAGTGCTGGACACACACACACACACACACATACATATATATAAATAAACAGTTTTTTACCAGTAAAGAAAGATATACAAATAGACATCAGATAGCTCAGAGTGATGATTATAAAGCTTGAAAGCCAAAGTCATGTGGCTTTTTGATTCATGGACTTGTTCAAGTCAAGTTATCTGTAATGGTTTTTTTAAAACAGATGACATAAAAACAATAAGGGCATTTATACTTACCTGATGTAAATGGTGACTCAATTCCCAACAGAAAACTACAGAAAAGCTCCCAATATACAGAATGATCTGCTCAGTGATGAACTGCCCCATGGTCCCTACACTCTTAAATTGCTCTGGAAGAAACACTTGCAGCACAGCTAAGAAAAGGTAAGCCACATTTGAAAGCTTTAAAGCTCGTTTAATAGCCAAAGGAAGTCCCATCTTGAAGCTGTAGAAAAGAGGACGCTGTCCACAATGCCAACAAAAAATTAGCAATCACAAATCCCATAACTAAAAGAGAAAATGCCACCAATAGATTATCACAAAAAACAACCAATTAAACAACAACCAAATCTCGCTTGAATAATTAGAAAATCCAGAACTCATCATTTTTATGAAAACACACTTGTAAGCACTCTCAAAGTGAAAATTGTAACTTGCTTCCGTAAGTGACACAAAATAAGTTTCTGAAAACAGCTAACAAAATCTTACCCTTTACATTCATCAATCCTATACAAGTACTCAAATCAAATATCAAAAGCCCAAACCTCAGTCTCAATAACATACTTCAACCTTATAATTACTAAACACAACTTCTATCAAGAACAACACACACATTACAGTCACTATTCTTACATAGGTCTTTCGCATCAAAAACCCACCAATCCATTTTCAATAACAATCCTAAAAAAAAAAATCAAGAACACAACTTTATAAGCAAAACATCACATTAAAAAACAACCCACCATAAGAATCTTCAAAACAAACTACAGAAATTAACAAAACGCCACACTCACTTGCATTGATCTTCCACATTATCAAGAGCCCATATTCTTACATGGGTCTTTCGCATCATCAAAACCCCACAATCCACTTTCAATAACAATCCAATAAAAGCATCAAGAATACAACTTTGTAAACAAAACATCACATTAACAACCAACCCAGCATAAAAATCTTCAAGAAAAACTACAGATATTAACAAAATGTCACACTCACTTGCATTTATCTTCCACATTATCAAGAACCCGTATCTCATTTTCAATAACAATCCACTTCAAATACTAAGATCAAAACTTTATCAACAAAACAAACATAGCAAAAAAAAAATAGCTACAGTCACTGACCTGAATGATCGGAAACTCCAAAACCCATCTTTTTTTATAAACATCAAACAACCCATACAAAACCCCAAACACAAAACCCCTAAATCCTAACCTCGCAATCAACTCAAACCCATCAAAACCACACAAACACACCACTGACAAAGCCCCAGATATCCCAGCAACCACCACAAACACCACAAATCTCGCCGAAACCAACGCACGACGGCGAAACTCAGGCTCCACCGGTGACGACACAAAAGCAAAGCGGACGAGACCGGCGGCGAGCTGGAGAGGAGAGGCGTAGGGAAGAGATTGTGGAGAGGAGAGGATAGAGAGAGAAGAGGAGAAGAGGAGGTTAGAGAAGGCAAAAGTTAAAAACTTGAGAAGTGAAAAACATAGTTGGGATGGTGAAAATTTGGGAGTGGTAAAAAAGGCGAGGAGGAAGAGTTTTGTGAGTAAGTAAATGGTGGTCGAAGTGAAGGTTTGCCAAATTAGAAACCCTAAGAATCTGTTTTTCGACACCAGTTCAGGCGGCGGAGACATTTTTTCTTGCTTTGTGATGGATTGGAGGAGAAGAAAAGGGAGGGGGAGGGGGCTAGTCTAGAGAAGAGTGGAAGAAGCGGGAATGTCAGCTCTAGTGGAACACGGAAAAGGGCCTTGAAGGAGGGCTTTTTATTTTGGGTTGCGTTTTGTTGAAGCTACGCCCCAATTACTAGATAGTTTTTCGTTCATGGGCTTTAGGACTAATTAATCCTTACTTTGGTGTCCGAAGTTAGGACAGTCATAAAAACCAAAAAAAAACTCAATCCTGACAGTTATTTCCTTGGATTTTGAATCGAAGAACATACTTGCTTTCCATGCGAGTCAAAGCTTACAAGGATGATCCGATACATAGGTATAAACACGGTCTAATATGATGAGTTGATTTGATAAACTAATGATTTAAAAATTTATTTAAATCAAATTATAATTTTAATTGATTTTAATGGTGGCATAGCTAAATTTAAGTAATATACCTAGTTAAATTCAGTCCAAATATAATTAGATAAAAACCAAGAATGTTTTCTTAAAAAATGATATGACGTGATTTCAGACAAAAACAAAATACTTAAATTAACTTAATGATCTGTGAGCTGATGAAAAATCAGGAACTCATGTCATTTTTGAAGTCTAAACCCTATAATTCAATGGTTAGAAAAACTTATTTTCCTCAGTTGATTTATTAAGGTTGAACTTTAAAGCAATGTATTGTACGCCCCAATTACTAGATAGTTTTTCGTTGATGGGCTTTAGGCCTAATTAATCCTTGCTTTGGTGTCCAAAGTTAGGACCCTCATAAAAACCGGAAAAAAAAAATTCAATCCTGACAGTTTTGGATTTATTGAGGTTGAACTTTAAAGCAATGTATTATTATACAGAGAGGTTAATGTAGAGGTGCATCATTAAGATTACCGAAGAGAAAACTTAAGTTTGTTTTTTGGTGGTTATGTATGAATAATAGGATTAGGAAATCGCA